TTTTCACTGTTTGAGTTGTGTTCTTGCTGCGGACAGCAGTTTACTTGGCTTAGGTACTTGATTTGGGTTAGGTTTACTTGTGCAAACGAGTATTTCCTATCATAACACCACAAATTCAGCCCAAATTTCTTCCTCTTTATCCGCCCCATTAAACCATTTGAATTAATTTGAATTCATCAAATTAATTCCCTCACCCCCTTGCTTAAAACTGAAATTATTGCTGAAAATTTCAGTTTTGTCTTTTGGAGTCGTTCTCTACTTGCTATCACAATCACTCAAAACAAAGTTCTCCTTCCCTATACCCGCCGCCTGCCTTCTCCCCTCATATCACCGTGATATTTGGACTCCCCGGCAAGATGCATGGCGGATCCTGAAGTGGATAGCGGTTTAGTGCTCGGCGAATACGGAAGCATACACATAACTCGTTCGCCATTCTTCGACGTTGGGTTTGGATTCGACGACAACGTCGAAGACTATTTGAACCGCATCTTCCCGACACTCGGGAATGTGGTAGACGAGCAATTTGAAGACGACGACTGGATCATCCGCGGACATCCACCGGCTTCTCCCATTCCGACTTCCTTCCCGGCGATAAGTCCTCTCAAGATCACTTGCCTATTAGTGGCATCGCTAAGTTGACCTACGGTCCTCTTCCGCTAGCCACCACTTTCAAAACGAGTGAAGGACCTCAAGGTGAATGATCTAGATTTTAAACGTGTGGCTTTAGTAGTAGCTATTTGCATTATCTAGTTTATTTTGGTTATCTTTTGCTAGACTCATGCAATTCTTAAATGTAATCACTGCCGTTAACATAATTTATCACGAATTTTCTTGAATCCAACTTGAGTAAGCTAGATTTTATTGTTAACATTGTAAAGCTAAACTCTCATTAATCTCTAACGTGCAAATCATATTTCACCGCATATCGTTTCACATCATATAGGTTCTAAGCAATACTCATGAAGCTCCGGAAACCTCAAGTGAAAGAAAGTTTTAATTGAAGAAATTTAGGCCTTCGGAAATAATGGTGCGTAAGAAGTCTCTAAACTTCCATTAGAAACAAATCAATTGGATGTAAATGGATCTTAATAATAAGTAGATGGGAGAATTGATTAATTTAAAGGCCATCGTGTTACAAAAAGCTTCTCCCTGTCATACGGCATTGACTATAAAAAAACCCTCTTCAATTACTTAACTCAATATAATTGAAATTTCCTTTCTCTGGTGACAATTTTTGGCTAACCTCTAGATCAACCTGATATTAAGAATGCTTTTTTTACAAGGGACCTTGAGGAAAAATTATACATGGAGCTTCTATATGGATTTGAAAATTAAATTAACACCAATAAGCATGCAGACAGATAAAAGCTCTATATGACTTTAAATAATCCCCTCATTCATAAAGATTATACTAATTTATTGAAAATTATGGGTCAACTTGGTGCCAAGTTGATGACACACTCTTCATCAAACGCTCCAAGTAAAAAGATTAGTTTGATCATCTATTTAGGCAATATTATATTAAAAAGTCATTTTGAGGAAGAGCTAGGTAAAGTTTTAGAAAATCTAATACACTTTATTGTATTAAAATAAGGTGTTATTATTTCTCCAAGGATAATCTTCATCTACTTTCAAAAAAAAGTATCCGTGGAGATAAGTCTTTATAAATTCGAATAGACTCAATATAGAAAATGAATATCACCATTAATAGCATGCTTCTTGTTAAAGGTTGGTTATAAAGTCTTGTGGGTAGACTCATCTACCTTAATTTCACCTATCATGATATTGGGTTCCATGTTAAATAAACATACTGTAGATCACATGGAAGCTATTAACTACATTCTAAAGCACCTCAAGATGATATTAGAAAAATGATTGCTATATAAAAGGTCATCTATTAAGGAAATTGGAAATTTCAAATATGCTAATTAGATTGGAGATGTATCCGACAAAAGATTCACTAAGGCACCTCAAGATGATATTAGGAAAGGCTTGCTATAGGAAAATTCAAACAATAAGGAAATTGAAATTTTCGCAAATACTGATTGTGCTTGAAACACATTAGACAAAAGATTAACTAAGATTAGGGGTGTAAATGAGTCGAGTTGAGTTTAGGCCCTTATCAAGCTCGGCTCGTAAGTTAGAAAGTGAGCTCAAACTCGAGCTCATCTAACTGTAAACGAGCTCGAGCTGGCTCGCAAGCCATGGATGATAATTTTTAAAGTAGGTGGGATTTTTAAAAATTAGTCATGATTTTTAAAACTTAAGCGGGATTTTAAAAACTTAGTCAAAATTTAGAAAAAAATATGAAATGTTTAACCTTTAAATAAAACTTAGGTTGTTTTTATTAAATTTTTAATAATTAAATTTAATAAATAAAATAAATTTATTTTAAAATATTAATATTTATTCGAGCCTGCTCGCGAGATCACGAGCCGAGCCGGCTCAAGCTCGAACTCGAGCTTGCTTACTAAATGAGCTTGATAAGCTTGGCTTGCGAGCCCATAAACGAGTTGAGCTCGAGCCGGCTCACTTACAGCCCTAACTAAGATACCTTAAGATGATATTAGGGAAAGAGTGTCATCCAATAAGTAAATTATTAATTTCACATATGGTGATTGGGCTGGAGACACATTAGGCAAAGTTCTGCTTGCGGTTGTTGTACTAATGTATGGGAAAATTTAGTTATATGGGGGACGTAAGAAACAATGTGATCTCAAGTATGTTGACGTTGAATACATGGCCGTGACATTTAGTATTTATGAATTAAAAAGATTTTTAGAAGAATTAAAATATCAAGTGAAAGTTTTCTTAAAATTGTATTGCTACAATCAGGTTGTTATAAGTATTGCAAAACATCCAATCCACCATGACATGCCTGGACACGTTAAAATATACCAACATTTCGTTGTAGAAAAAAGCTGAAATGTATTATTCCAACTAAATTATCTTTCAACAAACTCTGAAATTATAGATATTTTCACCAAGACTGTCCTAAAAATAAATTTTGATCATCTAAACAAGTTGAATATGATAAAGATATACAACTCAATTTGAGGGAGAGTGTTTAAATAATTCTGAATTCATGAACAACATCATTCTATTTTCATCAATCCATTAAGTCATGTCAAGAACTTTTATCTGCAGTAATCCAAGTATCTGGAGACAACAACTTTCATCTAAGGCATTCAGCGGACAATAATTTTTTATTTCTTCTTTGTAGTTAATTCTTGATTCCAAAATTAAAGGTTGCTTCTGATTTTTTTCTTTCCCAATTGTTGTTTCTTCACCTATTTATTTACATCTTATTTTCTTACATTAAACAACATAATAAAATATAGCAATAAGCTCTAATTTTCTAAGTAATTCATGTTGCTTTCTTTTATAAATTGATTCACGCTGTTCTTCCGGTGTAGGTACACCGGACACAATGCAAATTTAATAAAAGAGAATACATGGAATGAATCTGATTATATTTCTCAAACATCTTTAGAAAATAACGTGTTATTGACTATAAGATTAGTTTGACATACATTTTCAAATTGGATTTATACGTCTTTTATCTTACTAACGTGCAGGCTTATTAGGTGAAAGTCATAATCCTGTTTCTGAAGTAGCACTGCGTATTGTTGCAAGCATGAAACGTGACTGGATGCAGGCATGTATCTAGGTTACCTATTAATTTCCTAAGCGCTGTGATACTTGAAATCGAGGTAACACATCACTCTCCTATGAATTACAGACAGGAAGGAAACCTAGTGGCTTATGTGGTGCGGCATTGTACATATCTGCACTATCTCATGGCTTCAACTATTCCAAATCAGATATTGTTAGTCTGTTCAACCTTTTATGGATTTTTCTTTTTGCATTTCCTAGTAAAAATTTCCCCTCGTTCATATTTTCCAGTGTATTAAAAGTTCTAGGTAATCTCAAGAAAAAATGACTTTAGAGCGGCCAAAGTGCTTGGTGCCCAGATTAAGCACTTATCCGATGCATAAAAAAACTAAATAGCTATTTCACTTAATAAATCAACTTAATGATGAATCTCTTTGAAGGGTATAACAAGAGAATAATTAGTCATATAGTTAGAGAAAATTAAAGATTATAATTTGGTTTAAAACTTCTTACATTATATTTTAAAATCTTACCAAATTGATAGTATTAAGAAAAATACTAAACGACATGTTTAAATAATTTAAGCAATTAAACTATCTAACTTTGTAACATGCATAGTGTGCAAGACAATTTAGGATTTTTTGTTGGTGAATTCATTTCCCCAGCCCGAATAAACACACGCACCTCTTTTTCTATCCTTTTCTGTATTTAATTTTGAAACCCTTGATTACATCACTAAGTTGAATTAGCTGATTGATGCAGTTGGTTCTTGTTTTTACAGGTGACTGTCGTACATATATGTGAGGCAACGTTGACAAAAAGGCTGATTGAGTTTGAGAATACAGATTCGGGTTGTTTGACGGTAAACATTTATTATGTTTTCAAAATAATTTCATTTTGAATTAACCAAGACAGAATTTGATATAAACTTGTGATGCGATTTAGAAACATGCTTGGGGAGATTAATATCCGACTCTTTTCTCTTTTACCTCTCTATTGCACGATTTAATGCAAAAAATTGCATTCTTGTTTCCATCTCCAATATTAATCCACAATTAGTATAGAGTGATTCTTTAATTGTCTAATGGTAGACATCCAGATCAGAATTTGCTCTTTTATTCCTTTCAAAAGTGTTCTAGATGGAAGTGTGAAAAATGTTTTTGATTTATGTGTTAGCACAGAACAGATTAACGTGTGATACATGAATGAGTATTCTTATTTTGAAGCTTTTAAGTGTAAACAAAGCACGTTCCTTAGTTTATGGAAGTGCACTTCAAATGATTAATAGGATCCTTAAACATCGAGTGAAGTAAAAATTAGAAATCTGATATTCAACAACTTATAAATTACAATACAATTATAAAGATACCTACACTATTAACTATTAATAATTAAGTACATATATATTTTCTGTTGAAGGATCATAGGACTTACAAGCCAACCAATTTTGATAAGAATTCTTGAGCACACAAATTAATAGTACTAACCATTGCGTTGATCCTCTTATAACCTTTAGATTGCAATTCTTTTGTGCCTCTCCTTCCTCTTCTAGTTGTCGGAAGGCTTTTTAATTAGCTTTGATTTATTTTTATTATATGACTTTTGGAAAAGTCTATATATTTTTTTGCACTTTGTAAATAATCAAATAATAAAATTCGAAGTTGTTTTCTTACATATTTTTTCTTTTGTATATGATATCAAAGTAGGTTAGGGTTTCATTCTTTCAACTTTTGTTCTCTGTTTCTTTTTATTTCTTGCTAGGATTTTTTGTGCTCTTCATTATATCTAGTTTCTTTAACTTTCCTTCGAAGGAGTCAAACATCATGATTGGTGAAATGAGTGAGCTGTTTATGTTCTTGTTACCTAAGGAGCGACGTTGCTTCCGCTCAAAGTGTCGTAACTTCCAATTCAACTCGAAGGGCACGTCGTCGTCGGAGCACAGTCGAGCAGCACGAAGGAGCCCAAGAAGTCACGGGAAGGGAGAAATGAGACGCGAGAGAGAGAGAGAGCCGAGCCGGAGCGGAGGCCGAAGGCCTCGTTCTCGCGGCCTTTTAACGATTCGAATGTGTCATGCGACGTGGGAGGAGTGTCGCGATCGTGTCTGCGACGTGTGAATGGACGGCTCGGCGTGTGACGTGCAGGATGGGGGCAGAGCAGTTACGCGACATTTATTTTTATTTTTTTTATTTTTTTGGTTTGTTTGAGCCGGGATCAACATTACTTATACATGTCTTTCTTTACACGATTGGGAAATCACATATGTTTGCATATTTGTCATGCAAGTGGTCTATACTCCCCTTTCTTAGTGCTATGGTGAGAGGATCTTATATATGCCTTTATTGATGTTGTGGGAAAGAAGATTATGCCTCCAATATTTATATATGTGTGTGCGCGCTTGTGCACATATATATTAGCGAGATGGGAACATACGATCGAATGATTATTTAAAGTTTCATACACCAAAAATTCCAATTATCTCTAAGACACTGTACGAGCCACTAAACTTCAAATGTATTTTAAAACAAAATATTAGAACTATCTCAAATAAATATCTTTCTCTCAGAATGTTGCACATATAATACATGTTCTCTCCTCTTATTCTGATTTTAACTATTTAAATAATACTTATGTACATTTATAAATATTGAGTAAGTCATAAAACAACTCAATGAGTATGACATACTTCTAAATTATAGTAATACAAGATATTTTGATCAACATGAATTCTAGTTGTAAAATATAAAATTGTTTTATTTATTAGCATTTAAGTTTAGAAATGATTATCAATCATATCTTATGCATATATGGAATACTTATATCCTTTTATAACCTTTTCTGTAATTAGTATAACTAGCATAGGAGGCGCTGTTTAAATAATATCAATGAAGGTACATCCATTTCCATTTTGATAACCTTTTTAAAATCTTTTTAATTTGACGCGTATTGTACATTGCGTCCTTAGTCAATATCAAAATGGGGTGTACTCTATCATTCAATTTTGTACATGCAATTATTTTTTACTTAATAACTTTATTTGAATGTTCTATATCATTTCAATGTAAGACTTATGCTAAATTACATAAATCTGTATCATCAAACTCAATATGATCACTTGCATTTTATAGAGATAACACATAAACACTTAATGAGAATGATAAGAAATTAAATGCATTTAGAAAAAATAACCCCATTATCATAATTTATGAATATGAGTACTCACCTCGACTTCAGCCAATTAGCCTCCCCCCTTTTAATTCTTACTCTGACATTGTCATATATATATATATATATATTAGAGTATTATAGCTACAGAGCTATTCTATGAGACCCTTAAGGCTAATAGGATGTCAAATAATTGAACAACATTTTAAAATCTACTATGAAGAGCATTAAGGGTAATATGATTAACATTCTATTGTATGAAATCCTTAAGGCTGATAGGATGTCAAATGATGGAAGTAACAGCATCTTAAGATCCACTATTGAGAACGTTTAGGGTTTTCATAATGGTTATAACTATTAGTGGATAAAGCTTAAATGCGGATGTTGCCTCACATGGATAAAGGTTAATTGCGTATGATGCCTTCTAGTCATGTAAACAAGCTCTCATAAAATTTAGGGATAAGGGTGCATACATCAACCTTTCCCTAATCCTATAATGAAATTAGTGTTGAGGATGATAAATTTGTGACAAATCACATGTATAGAAGCTGATCAATTTGGTTTATACAAGCTTAGCTGTGTTGTTGTTTTTGTGGTACGGTAATGAATACTGAGATATTGAGATCAACATAAGATATTCGTAAGAATTTATTGATGATCATAAACCATGAGAATCTATTTGTTTGTTATCTAAGGGAAAATGTGTGCTAAAGTTATTTTGGAGCAAACAACCAGTATTAGAGTTGTTTTGCAATGATTAAGCTTCCTCAATCATAATTTAGTTACAACGATGATCAATATTTTGTCCAATTTTTTTTTTCATTGGTCTTGGATTTGAGTACAGTAGGTATTCCAAGTGAGATAACTATCATATGCTTTATGAATTACATGCTCCTGCAAGTTTCACCTCTTTCAAACCAAAATAAAATTAGAAAAATGGAAAGAAAGTTTAATGTGGAAATGGTTGGAATTTCATCCCATATGAGGTAAAGAATAAATTTAATTATTAATTGCAGAAGTTTTACATGCGAGCTTAGTGCCTCCACACGCTATTGTCTTCCAACAGTGTGATCAGATTTAGTTTTGGAAAATGTTAGGGAAAGCAAGTCGTGTAGATTGTGTATCATGAATTATCTAAGATTCTCTTTGAGGGGTTTAATAAATGGTTGTTTTAGAACTCATTTTACGTTTTGCTTGTATTTTCAAATAAATTCCAAAGCATTTTTTTCACACTTCTCTGCTTGTATTTTTCCTTTTTAGATCGAGGATTTTATTGCCAGGGCCGACGAGCTAAATAATGTCTCTCAATCATATCAGTCTCCCACACCAGGGCAAGTGCTGTGTGCGCACAAGGATACAAATGAGCCTCATTTTGCTCATGGACTTTGCAGAGAATGTTTCAATGAAGTAATTTCGAATGCTCTTATTCTGCTTTATTTTGTTGAATGGGTTTTTTTTTTGGTATCAATCTCATGTTTTATGCAGTTCATTCATTTATCAGGGGGAATTAAGGGAGGTGCAGAACCTCCAGCCTTTCAGCATGCTGAAAGGCAGAGGTTGCAGAAGGCCAGAGCTGAGGAAAAGATGCCTAAAACAAATGCAGTAAGTTATAGAGCAATAGTATAACAATTTTTCAGACTTTTGTCTTACCTGTCCCCCATCCTCCTCATTTTTCTTAAGGATTGAATATCATCAAGAAGATGGACTGTGTATCTTAAAATTTCGCCAAATGTTTCTGTTGCACAATCTTTGTTAGGGCCTCTTGCCAATTTTTTTTGCTATGGAATATTGTAATATCATCCTTGGTTATTATGGCATTTACCAGATGAAACATGGCAATGGGATTTATGCTGATTCTATAGTTCGATTTATGAAATATGAATTACAAATTTACTTCTAAATGCTAATTTCTGTGCATTAATGCAAGTTTTTCTGTTTTATAATTGCTACGTACAAATTAATTAACAATTTTTTTTGTCAATGAATAATAAAAAATTTTGATGAAACCATTAATTTTGTTTATTTTTTTCTAATGCTTTTTTTTCCTGACATCGACCATTTTTGTTTTTTGGCAGGATATGCAACAGACTGATTTATCATCGAAGGCCACTTCAGTTTCCCATGGAAGTAAAGCACCATTTTCAGAAGAACCTAAACTTCATAATGGTATGTATGCTACTTTAGATATCTACAACGGACATGCACTGTTACGCTAGCTATATGTATGTTATCTTCATAATCAGCCTCCCAGCTATTTATGCTTGGCATTTACTTACATCCAATTATGTATAATTAACTAGTCACCAATAACTTTATCTGAGTTCTTTAACAGGGCATTCAGCTGTTGATACTTTTGCTTGCAATTACTCAGAGCAGGATTTGCATGAAGAAGGAACTGGAGATCCTGAAAGCTTTTCTGATATAGATGATGTTGAGGTGCCATTTTTTCATCCAGCCATTTAATTTTCTTGGGTGAATGCCACAAAATGATTTATGTGTTGTTCTTTTTTCCTTGAAGTATGAGGAGACAGAGTGATTAGTGATTAAAGTAGTTTTTCATATTTTTAGACGTGGTTCTTTTAATTCCAACATCAAATTGCTTTTTGATCATATTGAAAAAGGTAGGTGGCTTATATCACTTTTAGCATTTATTTAAAAGATCCTTGACGTACTACAAAGTCTTAGAGATCTAGGTGGCTGATCCCCATATGTCATAATAAATGAGAGAAAAATGAACAATGATTTTTGTGCCATTAATTAAATTGTTTTTAATAGTTGTTTTATGCTATTTCACAAACACAAGTGGGATAAAGGCTTTCCTTGAAGTATGAGGAAAGAGAGTAATTAAAGTAGTCTTTGGTTTTCTTAGATATGGTTCTTTTAATTTCAACACCAAATTGCTTTTTGATCATATTGAAAAAGGTAGGTGGCTTACAATTTACATCACTTTTAGCTTTTATTTAAAAGATCCTTGACATACTAAAAAGTCTTAGAGATCTAGGTGTAGCTGGTCCCCATATGTCATAATAAATGAGAGAAAAATGAAAAATGATTTTGTGCCATTAATTAAAAAATTTGTATAATCGTGTTGTGCTATTTCACAAATACAAGTGGGATAAAGACTTGATGTTGTTGTATTTCACAAATGCAGTGAAATTCTCCTTTTTTTATATTATTTGATTATTGAAAAAACATGATTTTGAGAATAAAGAGCGATGAATAATTAAGGGGTATGCATTGAAGCCATCTTATTTTTATTGATTGTATGTAAGGGTTTCTGGGATATGAGATAATATTTAAGGTTGCAAGGAGTTTTCTTAATTATTGGATTTCTTACCATCTCTTTATTTAGCAAGGCCTATCATCCTCTTTGTGCCCTATTCTGAAGACACAATATGATGGATAAGAAACGGCATTGCATTTGAAATCTTTTGTTAGCTTTTGAATAAATAACAAGTTGGCAAATAATTTAAATACATGAGGACATTTTAGAGTGTGAGAATAAGAATATCTTCATGACTGGACATCATGGTCAAGCATTCACCTACCATATTTTCCTGTTTTTAGGGCAAATGATATATTAAATATATTTATGAAAATATTTGGTCAGATAATCTATAGCTTTTGAATCAATTTGATAGGAAGTGGATGTAGAAACTGAGAAAATTAGGAAGAAGAACATACAAGAACTTTTTATTGAAAGATATATGAAAGAAAAAACAAGATACAATTGGTTCTTCAATTGGAGAGGAAGACCCAGCTCTCCCAAATCCCTAGCCGCCGGTTAGAGTTTTCTAAAAAAATACTACAACAAATGCAAATCATCTTCCCCCAAAATAACAACATAGTTACTTTAAATAAGCTCCCAATAATTCCCTCCCAAATCAGCCTCCTTTTCTTAAATAATTCTCTCTTAGATTTTGAATTCAAATTAGATCTCTTTCCCTAAATAATTCCCTCACAATTGTAATTAAAACTTTTATGAAAAATTCCCCTTGATTCCTCCTCCCTTTCTCTAAATAATTCCCTTTTAGATTTTGAATTCAAATTAGATCTCTTGCCCTAAATAATTCCCTCATAGTTGTAATTAAAATTTTCCTTGACAATTTCTATTTGATTAAGAACCTTTCTAAACTGCTCATTCTTGATTAGGAAACTTCTTAATTTTCTCCCAATCAAATCGGTCTGTCTATCATAGTGATCCATGAGGTTGCAATGGGCATAAGACTTTAAAGGCGTGAGAAGATGAGGTAATATTTTAGAATGCTAGAGTACAAGCACATATTGCAGATGTTTTTTTAGATGCTCCTAGCAAGCGCTCTTGTTTTTGTATGCCTTATCAATTGCCTAATTTTTTTTTCCTTTAAGAACCTGCAGTCATTTTAGATAGTTCTTTTCATTTAACCAATATATTGAATGGATGTTTTGCAATTTTCCATTTTATTTAGATTTTATTCCTCGGTTTCAAGAGAATACAATACTAAGATTCATAGTTCTAGTCATAGGAAAAAATTGAAAAAGAAAAAAAAATGCTGCAATGCAATGATGAAGTTTGCTACAGTAGGGACAATTTATGGTAATGTAACTATGAAGGTTGCAGCAATGGGAAGTGTTTACGGCAATATAACGATGAAGATTGCAATTTTAGAAAATATGGAGAGAAGGAAGAGCGTCTAACAATGAAGGTTGCAGGATTATGATAATGCAGCAATGCAGGCTGCAACCAATGCTTTGAAAACCGGATCGGACCGGCCGGTTCAACCGGTTCAACCGCGAACCGGCCGGCCGGCCGGTTACGGTTCAAATAAAAACCGGTCCCGCACCAAACCGTGAATGAACCGCCCGAACCGGCGGTTCGACCGCGAAACCGTTGAACCGGCACCGGTTTTAAAAGCCTTGGCTGCAACAATTGAAATAAAAGGATGAGAAAAAGTGGTTTTAATGTCTTGACCAAAATTAGGGTGAATTGGTTTAGTATGTCATTTCAATATTTGTGTAGCATTTATATAATTTAAGGGGAGTTTCTAATAAGAAATATATAAATTTAAGGAATAATAATTACAAATAGTTGTAGTAGTCTACAAATTGATGAGTATCTAGAAGAATAATTGCAGAATAATTATAATTATTCACATATTAATGAGTAGGCAGCAGGGATTCCATAGATCGATTAGTTGGCCATTGAAGATGAATGAAAGATAGCGTAGTCTTGATAAGTGTAGTCCCAGCAGGCTGAAATTATGCAGCGTTTAGTAGGGTCAATGTATTTCTTCTTTCTAGATATTTTTCAATCAATGCAACCTTGATTTTCTCTGAAATTACATTCTTAAAGTTTGTATTTTTATGTTCTAATGTTAGTTTGCATAATAGGTTGATGGTTACCTTCACAATGAGGAGGAAAAGAAGTATAAAAAGATCATATGGGAAGAAATGAACAAAGAATACCTCGAGGTAAATTAATTATTTGATTGGTAATATTGTCACCTTTTGTCATCCATGCATGTGATGATTCAGTGTTAATATTGCACAGGAGCAAGCAGCCAAGGAAGCTGCCGCTGCTGAAGCTGCTAAAGAAACTTATGAGGCTACTTTGTCTAATAATTCTGAAGAATTTAGTTCCGCAAAAGAACTGGCAGCAGCGACTGCAGCTGCTTTGGCCAATTCTAGAAAGGTAGCTCAGTAGCAGAAATCATTCCATTGTCCCTAGTTCTTGTTGTCATTAACATTTTCTAGTTGCGAGCTAAAGCATCCTATCTTTTCTATTTGTTGCTTTTTATCTTAAATCTTTTTTATTTATTAAATATTTGCTTAATATATAATCATTTCATGAACTAGCTATTTAAATTATCTCCAAGATGCTTTGTTAAGTTTCTTTTAACATGATTTTCTGTGATACTCGTCTTGTTTTCTATTGAACAGTGTCTTTCATGGTAATGATTTCTTCCTTTACCTAAAGTTTAAAACATATATCAAGGGGAAAGAAATGAGAAGCGAAAAAGAAGAATAAGAATGAGTTCTTGCAAGCCTGTTCTAGCACTCACATTAAGGGTTGTTCTTAGGTGACCTTATTTTGTTTGTTTGCCATATTAATGCTAATATCTTGCTTTACCTTATATATATTTTTGGTTTCCTAACGATTATTTATATCATCCTCTAGTTGTTCATTTAGGTAGTTAACCAACAATAAATTCGTACTGATTTTCTTCTTCTACAGTAGGGCTTAAAACTGTTTTTAGTTATGAAATTTGTATAAAACAGTATATAAAAAGCACACTGAAATTTCTGCTGGGAATAAATCAGTTGAGAAATAAATGTGAATAAATATCAGTTAAGAAATAAATGTCATGACAAACGATTAGAAAAAGAACAGCCTCGGCACTGATTCAATTATTGGAGAATTGTTTACATGGTATTGTGATACGCCAAGATGGGGCCACCTGGCCGGCTTATACCGTCCCAGCCAAACCAGCTCTGCCCTGGCTGAACCCGCCCTTTGGATGGGTGAAACCAGGGCAGTAGAGGGAGAGATTTTGGCCCCGTTGTGGGGCCCAGAGGAGCTATTATTCATTATGTTAGGAGGAATCAAAAGGGAGTTGTTTATGAAAGTTTATTAATTGTGTTTATGCTGTTTAGGAATATTTTAATTGTTTAGAAAGGTTTTCTAATTATGTTTATGCTGTTTAGAAAGGTTTCCTAATTGTGTTTCTGTTGTTTAGGAAGATTTTACTTATTTAGGAATGTTTCCTAATTATGTTTAGGCATTCTTAGGAATACTTCCTACTTGTGTTTATGTTGTTTAGGAAGGTTCTAATTGTGTTTAATGTGTGTGAGGCCTATTTAAGGGGGAGTGTTGTCTAGGGTTATGAGGAGATATGTGTTGAGTTTATTTTCTAGGGTTTTTGGTGTGATTTTCGTAGCGGCGGCTATAGGGTTTGTGGGAGAGCCAATTTATCTATCGAATAGTAGATCAATTGTATCTTTCATTTTTGTTGAAGAATCAATAGAAAATCAGCCCCTATATTTATATTCCTGCATTTTTCTTCTGTCTATTTTATTATTTTTACTTCCAAGAGGCATCATATTACCAGCTTCTATTAATGATACGAAGCAATTTGATCTTTGGAATTTATGAACGGTAATAAGTGGTTGACCATGAGGTTAAATGACTTGAAAGTACAAGATAATGCTAAAAAAGGCATGCCCAATGCATGGAGATTCCGCTAATACAAGGTTTGGGGTTGTGCACAATCTTACTCTTATATTTGTAGACAAGTTGTTTCCATGACTCAAATCTGGGTCTCGAGAGTAAACTAGAGTAAACATAACCAATGTTTCAGGGTCAACCTTTGAACTATCACTCTATTTGAATAATTTGGGCTTAATCTAGAATGGTGAATAATCTTGTGAAACTTAAATTCAGTTGTGTGAGCTATGTCTTGATGCAATGTCATTTGATTGTATAAAAGATAAAAGTTTGCTTGAAACATTCTTATTAATTATTTTTTCCATTGATTCTCATTCATTTTCACCCTACTTGCTGGAATTGAGAATTTGTACCATTAACTTATTAACCTTAGTTGTAGGGCCTGTTTGTAATCAATTTTGTTTTTTATTTTTACTTTATTTATAAAAATGTTTGTTTAATATGCTTTTAAATTAGATTTATTTATTTTTTGGTTTTTTTTTAACAAATCAAGTTTAAAAATACTCAAAATAACTTTGAGATGTTTGGAGTGATTTTAGAAAACAACTATCACTACCTACTTGTCACAACCCGTCTTAGAGACCCGATTTAATGAGATGGAAAAAAACAGTCTGATGGTTATTACAGTTCTTTCAATCACATAAAACACTTACGCCCAACATTTAATTGAAAAACCACTAAAACAAAATATATAATAATTCAAATTTATCTGATATTATTTGATCCTCTTTTTCTGTAGATAAACTCTTCTCTTTCAGTCATTTAGTTCACAGGAGATTTAACTGATATTTTAGATTTAACAATTTGAGATTTGTAATAAACTCAGTGGCTAATTATAGTTTATAATATAACCGTTAAACATACATAAATGCGGTTATGTTCCTTTGGCAATCTTTTTATTTAACATATATAGAAACATTTAATATGAATATAGATTCCTATTATATTATTTTCAAGTAACTTTATTTTGTTTATTTATTCTTTTTTTCTTTTCATTTATTACATAAGCACCGTCAAAATTTTGGACTGGTGAAAGTACAACCATTTTCATTTCAATTTTTATTCCCATCCTTTTTCATTAAATGTGCTTAAGAACATTGCGTCCCCAACTAGTATCGTAAGGGGCTGAACTCTTGTATTTGCATGCATACACTTTTTCCCTTTTTATACTTTTTTCATATTAATGTTCATGTAGTTTATTTTATTTTTGCATCACATTTCATATTAATATGTAGAATATATATATATTTCATATTAATATGTAGACATTTATATATATATATATATATATATATAATGAACTTTAGTTATTCGGTTATTCTCAAATTTGCTGCATATCAAATATTTAACTTTAGAAAGTACTTGAACATGATATAATGTTCAATAATAGCAATACAATATCAACAAACCTTTATCCCACTATGTGGGGTCAGCTACTGTGAATAAAATTCTTTTATGTGTTTTGTGCCACAAGATTTGTTTTAACTATGTATTTTAGTTTCTTCCAATCAAATCTGCATAGCTTAACATTATAATACCTCGAATGATTGACTAATATTATGCTATTGATTTAAAAGAGAGAAACTATAATTTATTTTTCTCATTAGATGCAGCATAAGGAATATGTAATTTATCCCAAAAGATGAAAAACATATTCTACCATTGTTCCAATTAGAAGAATAAATTATAAATTTAATTCCATGATCAAATATAAAAAATATTCCATTCGCCATAAGGGCAAGCAAAATATCCATCTATCTTTTGATTATGAAATTAAATTTAAAATATGTATAAAGCTACTCTGCATTCACAGATCTTCTCCTACCTTAGAAAGGAACTAAGATAGGGTTTATTTTATTTTGGAATCTAGACTCCCTACAGGGACAAGCCCCTATGTTTAATTTTATCTCTTAAGAGAATACTCTTGATTAAAATGAAGACTAAAAGATTTAAAATTCATATAGATTTAAATAAATACTTGGGCTAATTAGATTTCGATGCACAAGCTTTAGATTATAAATTCTAGAATTGATTTGAAATTTTAGATTTGAATTAAGGAGAGATATGTAGAGAAGGGTGTATAAAATCTGGACTTATCATTTGCCTAAAATGAGCTGTCAGCTAACAATCCTAAGCATAAAAATTGTCGTATAAATGCAAGATTTAGTAAGCTCTATCCTAAGAATCAATGATTTGTTAAGAATTTAAATCGAATGTAATACAATATGCTTACAAAAAAAAGAAACTACACATATGATGTAAATGATGTATGAACAATAATGTATAAAAAATAATTTTATTAATTTATAAATTTGGAAAGTACAACCCAGGGTTTGCAATAAAATAATGATGGTCAGGCCCCATCAATAACAAACTTGGATTCTAATCTATCATATACATCTAGAATCAAATATAACTGTTTATAGTCTTCGAGCTCCAAGTCTTATGTGGAATTTTAAAAAGAATATCCTTTTTGAAAGAGGACATTGTTTTTTGGAGCCCCGCTTGTATATACATAAGCAGTTATTTTTTATTCTTTACAACTCTTGACAATTTACAACTCGATATATATACAGAATTTATGGAATTTAAGTTTACATGTATCCAAATTGAATTGAACTACCATAGATGATTTCTTCTCTAGTCAAGTTTCTATCCAAGGAGAAGATAAGTTTTCCAGCCATTTGAGTACACTTTATTTTTCTTAAAATTAACGTAAGGTGATTTCAATTAGTTGATTTAAAAAGGTGATTTGACTTTTGAGCTTGATTGGTTATTTTTAAATTTCAGACCTCAACATATTAAGTTTTCAGCCAACATGAGGGTTCACAAAATTGACAAAGAAATTTTGGAGAATTATGCTTAACTATTTCGTTCCACCAATTGATTTAGAGTAAAATGTCAAAGTCTAGATTTGTTGTTTTAATTTTGAATTTGAGATTGAGGGATCTTCGACAAATTCTAAAACCTAGCATATTAAGTTTCACTCGATTATGCAGGTTTACAAAATTGACATGAAAATCCCATGGAATGAGCTTGACTCTTTCATTCCACCGGTTGACTTGATGTGAATTGTCGAAGCCAAAATATGAATTGGAAATTGAAATTGGACTTGAACTTAAGATTGAAACTGGACTTGAACTTAAACTGAAGGTTGAAGTTAAATGGATCTTCTTCAAATTTTAAAACTCAACACATTAAGTTTCACTCAAATGTGCAGGTTTGCAAAATTAATAGGAAGATCATGAAAGTTTGGCTTAACTTTTTCGCTCCGCCATTTAACTTGGGGGCGTAATGTCGAAGCCTGAATTTGTTAAATGATTTGAAACGAGAGTACTTGAATTAGATGTTTGAAATGGATTTGAGAAATCACAAATGATATTGAGAAAACTAGATTATCATTGTATGTGCTGAGCTACAAGGAGACATTGCAGGGTACAAATGGCAATGATATCGAATGTTGATTTTGATTGAAAATCTGGGCTCAAACTTGAGATTTTAGGATTTTCTTCGAGTTTTGAAACTCAGCATGTTAAATTTGCATTCAATGCGAGGGGAGGTTGGGGAGAGCACACTATCTTTTGGTTCGACTCGATCGAATCAAATCAATGACGAGGAGTTTGGGGGAGTGAATCTACCCTGGCAATGTCTTCAAGTCTTCAATCCACTTGGCCGGATCAGATCGTCGGCCAAGGGCTTTGAGGGATTGTATCAACCACGGGACTTCCTTCAAATTTCCTCTGCTGTGGCACCTATTGAAAATTCTCACCTATATATTTTTTAAATTTTATTATATATATAGTCATTTGTCCGTGCTTTAAAATAGTCACGCATTCATTCTCTTTGCCAATTTGGCAATGATGGCAAAAGTTTGATTGAAGTTCACTAAGAATCAATATCATATGAATTGTATTTATATGATTACATGCATAAATCTCATGTTAGTACGAATGTGATAGAGGCCTCTAATTGGGTGGTTAATCTTTTTGCAAGAATGTCTTTATATTACAGTTACATGCCAAGCTTGGATGTTCTCCGATTAAGCTTGGGAGTTGTGAGCTATAAGTAACTTGATAAGGCATGAAGCTATCTGTTATCTTCTTGTTTCAATGTGAGCCATTATTTTATTCTATTTGATGAATTATTTTCTTCAATTTTTTTATTATAAATATTTGTTATTAGTTTTGTGGTGTTCTTAATTTTCCTATCACTTTTCCCTAAAATTTTGGTTATCTTTATTTTTTGTGTTTTTAGTTTTATGTTTATTTCTTTGACTTAATAAGCTATCACGTTATCATTTGGTTTGATATTTTGTTATTTTTTTCAAGTTTACATATAAAGAACCGAGTTCTTATTTAATTGGTTGTCTTTGATCTACATGATCATTGTCATCATGATTACTTAGTATCACTGAAAGATTTATTTTTAAAGGGTTATATTTTGCAATTTTTTGGCCGGCATTAGAATTTAACTATTGAAAGAAAGTTGATTATTTGAAGCTATGCTTGTTCCTTCTTGAGTGATAATATAATTATGCTCTTTCTTTTACATGGAAATAGGAAAATTAGCTTATTCACATGGTATTATAGTTTTATTTCATGAGGTTTTCAATTTGCTTTTGCTTTTTGTTTGTGATCTGAAACAACAAAATTATTCTTGGTTTTGGATATACAAATAGCTAGCTGATAATGCTGGTAAATTTAGTTTGCCATTTATGCTTTAGCTGCTATCATGCTATGTAAGCGGTACTCACTTTATATTTTTCCATTGTCTATTGCTTGTGTATCCATTGATTCGCTACTTTTAAATCTACCATTATTACTGTATCACGAATAAATGTTGTTGATTTGTGGCATCTTTCTGAATGCATCCATTCATAAATAGAGGTTTTGAAATTTTCTCTTGAAGCTAAATGCTAATTGTAAAGATTTTGCCGTTGAATCGCTATGCTTCAACCTAAATAGATCATTATTTCAGGAAAAGAGGCAAAAACGAGCAGCAGAGAAAAGGAATTCAACACCTCCAAAATCTCCTCTTGAAGCAACAAGCCAATTGCTAAAACGAAAGGTACATGTCCTTTGTGATGTCCTTAACAGTCAAATGATTGTGTTTTTTTTTACAAAGGTTATTTATCCTTTTCCTTTATTAATTTTGGTTGATGTTTATTTTTAAGTTTGCTTTGTTGTTGCCAACCATAGCTGATTGTTCTTATGGTGATAATGGTTTTGTGGCTGCAGTCGTTCCATTCAAGAGTTAATTTCAAGGCATTGGAGAGTCTATACACGGTATGCTGCTCTTTCAATTGGCAATAATTTGGAGTAATTCCGGGGTTTTTTTTTCCTTTTTTTTTAAGCGTGGATGAATTTTTCAGAAATTTATTAATTTTTAGTAATAGATAGTTATTTATATTAGTTAAGATATGCACATTATTGTATTTGCTGGTATACAACCTAATTTTTTATAATTACTTATATATTGCTCTATTCTACTAAACATTAATATGTCACAGTAATGTAATTAATGTTAAGGTACAACAACAACTAACACAATTTCTTAAATGATTCATGTCATTTTTGTTCGACAAGTTTTACGCTGGCTGTCGACTACCTAACGCAACCCTCCACTTTTCTCATCCAGGACTTGGGACCTGGCAACGGCAGTGTTTAATTAATGTTAAGGTCTTGTAAAAAAATTATAAACTGCTCTATTCTACTAAGCATAGCTGTGTGTTCTCCTGCTTAAAAATTGGCGGTTAATGTGGAGCAAAGAGCTTTTACCATGTGATATGGTGGCCTGCATTTGTGACGCCACTCAGTTTGAGAAAGTGTCGAGCAGACTCCTATTATTTGCTTTTGATTAGTTTAGAGAAAGCATATGATAGAATTCGTGCTCTGGGGAGTTCTAGAAAATAGTGTTAATAATGTTTATATTCAGGAGATATATGCATGAACTGTTATTTGTGTTCAAACACAAGGTGGTTTGTCCAAGTTTTTTTCTATTTCACTTGGATTATGTAAATTATCATCTTTATCTTTTTGCTTTAGTTATGGATGTTCTTACTAGACATTTGCAAAAGGGTGTGCCCTGGCGTATGTTTTTTGCTGATGATATTCTCCTTGTTGATAAAACTAGAGAGGAAGTTGAAGGTAAGCTTGAATTATGGAGGTCAATCTTAGAATCAAAAGGTTTTCATTTGAGTAGATCTAAAACTAAATACATGGAGTGTAATTTTAATAGTAATAGATCTATTGTGGGGATTGTGACTTTAGGTGATCAAGTCATTAATAAAAGTACACGTTTTTTATATCTTGGGTCTATTGGCCAACGTAATAGTTAAATAGATGATGATATTATTAGTAGAATTCAAGTTGGATGGTTGAAGTGAAGGAATGCATCAGGCCTATTGTGTGATAGAAAAGTACCCCTTAAATTTGAGGGAAAATTTTATAAGATGATGTTGAGATTTGCAATGCTTTATGGCGCATAATGTTGACCATTAAAAGAGAATCATAAAATTAAGTAAAATGTTGTAGAGATGAGGATGCTTAGGTGGATGAGTGGCTTCACTCTTAAAAATAGAATGCAAAACGAATATATACGTGAAAAGGTTAGAGTAGCTCCACTGGTAGCTAATATTCAAGAGAGACGCCTTAGATGGTTTGTTCACATTAAACGCCAGACTTCCAATGACCCAGTTTGGAAAATAGATGATGTAAATTTGGCATATATTAAAAAAGGTAGGGTAGACCTAAACAGACTTGGTTAGAAAATATTAAAAATTACCTTTTTTTATTAAATTTAAATGAAAATTTGACTTTTAATAGGATATAATGAAGAAAAAAAAATACTCATGTAGCCAGTCCTACGTAGTGGGATAAAAGCTTAATGTTGTTGCCGGAGCCAATTTATGTAGATTCTAACCGAAAATCCCAGCATGATTTAATGTGTAAAAGTTCCGAATGTATTGGCTGGCTGTCTGCAAGACATTTGAAATCCCTCAGGAGTAACGAGATGAGATTAATGATCAAATTTAATTGTTACTTAATCTACAGCATTTGGTTTAATTTACTTAATAGTTTTCGGAAGGAAGAATCCCCACGCTATTGGTCATCTCAACTGCAGTCATGTTTGTGTCAATATCTTTTCAGCATATATGTTTCAAGGTTTTTTTTATGTGAATTCTGACTTACATTTCTTTTTCTTTAGTTTATTTGATCCAAAACTGATCCATATTCTTGAGGTTGACCTAATCTTTGGTAGTTGGTTCTCTAGCTTTAAACCTATTTTTGATAGATTTACTATGTTCGATTGTGTATTGAAATTCCTTCTATGAAGCCTGAGCAGGATAATGCAAAGAAACAGCGCACTGAGAATGACGATGGAGAAGCTGCTAATGGTGAGGAGAAGGGATCTGATGAGGATGCCGCAATGGGTGGTGAAGATGGCTTTGCTACACAGACAAATAATGGTGAAGATCACTATGGATATGATGATGAATATGGAGATGATGGCTATGGAAATGTTGATGATGACTATTATGGCAACGAAGACGGTAATTATGCTAATGGATATGATGCTGGCTATGATCAGTGGGAGGACTAAGGCTTCGTTTGGGACGGCTTTTTTACTGCTTTTTAAAATAATTTTTTAAAATAAAAATTAAATTTTTTTACTAAAAAGTTGTTTTAAGAAGCAGTAAGAAAGCCATTACAAACGAAGCCTAAAACGATCAAGCTGCGCATCTTTTCATGTTATCCCACACCTTGAACCCTAAGCCCTAACATTTGTATTTATTTCTAACCATTTAGTGATGTATTATTATTATATTGTTCTATTGTAATTTGTTGTAGGATAGGAATGCAGATCTGCATGCCTCCAGGAATTGATTCAATATTTAGTATTGCCATTTTAAAATAGCGATATCTAATTATTTTGGCAGAATTTTTTTTTAATTTTATTTTTCTATGTATTGGGGTTAAGCTAAATTTATTTTTATCCGCTTTCAGAATGATTTTATTATAATTATAAATAAAATTTGTTCTACTCTTACTAATGCTATATTATTATTTCTTATTAAGTTATTTTATTTAATAATAAAATAAAAGTTTTGCCTTGGATTTAAATTCAGTTCGAGCTATGTTAATGAAGTTCAGAAATAAAAACTCTCATTCTGATTTAAGCCAAGAAAATATTGGAATTCTGTTTAAAAAATGAGATTTTGGTTTCCTTTGGGACTGATTTTTTTTCTATTGCTTAAAATATTTTTTTATTATTTGTATTAAAAAGATGTTTTAAGAAGCGGTAAATAAGTCTTCCCAAATGAAATCTTAAGTTACAAATCGGTGCATAAAGCAATAGAAGATGGTCAGAGGTAGTTTATTTTTTTTTCTGATTTAAAACTCAATATAAAATAAATAAATAATTTCGTCTCCTATCACAAAAATGAATTATTGTTCATTGCTGTGATGTCATCTCTGAATATCCCTATCATAACAAAGATTTACTTGATAAATAAATTTGCTAATTTGATAATTGAGATTAATATATTAAAAACATAATTAGCCTGTAATTAAGAGGTTTCTATAGCATCAAAGCATAGCCAGGTGTAGCAACATGGCTTGGCACTATTTTTATTTGGTGGTTTAAGGTTATAAAGTAGTAATATAACTGCTGGGCATTATGCGATGAAGCTTGAATATATGTATTTATCTGTCCGATTCGACTGTGCCGCCATAGTCACACTAGTCCATTAAACATAAAACTGAAGGAATCTCTGCAACAATATAGCTCTATATTCTTCAACGCATTTATGTGGAAGGATGGGGCGAGGAAGGTTCTCAACAAGAGAAATTATTAGGTACGGAGTGCGGACGGGAGAACCGTCTGCACACTAGTATAAAACAGTGTTCGGTACCGTTCGGTACCACTCGGTACCGCTGGGTACCGCTCGGTACTCTGTGTCTGTGCAGACGGTTCTCACCCCGTCTGCACTCCGCACCTAACAATTTTTCTCTCAACAAAGAGGGATGTGTCAGTTCTTTACTTTTAGCATATTAATGCCCCAATCATTCCCATGATAGTTTATTTGTATCAAATCCATATATATATATATATATATATATATATATATATATATGTGTATAACTACTTGGTTATCACACAATACTAGTGGGTTGAATTCAATGTATCTCAAAATTTCACAAGAGTTGAGTTATTCATTAACTTATGAACTACGATAGCAAATGCACAATATTTTGCACCAACAGAGGATCTAGAGATTGCATTATGTTTGTTTGCTTTCTGAGAGTATAAGAGTCTTCTAAGAAAATACAAAACAAGATGATAACATAGTCGGACAAGATCCCCAATAGACAATTGAAAAAGTCTTGAACAGAGAAGGTTGGAGGAGTCAAATAAATATATTCCATAATCCCTATCTATGGATGGACTTGTGGTATTTAAGAAGGTAGTGAGTAGCGGTTATGTGTAATGTTCTTAGTTGAGCTAAGAATTGGCAAATTTATGTGTAATAAAGGTTATGTCCATTTAAGATAGTGTGAGGTATAAAAAGCACCCTAAGAGGCACCTGTATTGCAAAGTGTCGGGGAGGAGATCACCATTAAAGGTGTTGAATTGGTTTTGAGGGCTTCATGGGGATGTTGGTAGGCTTGCTACTGAGAAGACAAGTATATTCTAAGAGTTATAGAGTTTAATATCTTCGGAAATGGACAATGTCCTTGAACAAGCAATCTCTAAATTGAGGAAGTATTTTTAAAGTTTTCAAAGTCTATTAGGTTAAATTGTATGTGAATGAAGTGCTTTATGAAATTCGTGGAGTGGTATGATGGTCCTATAATGAAACAATCATCAATGTAGACTAATAGAGATATGAAATTAGTGCAGACTCCTCCTGTAAATAATGAGTAATCATATTTGAATTTTGTGAAGCCAAAGCTGATTAGTGACTGGGAGAATTTTGAATACCGTTAATGACATAATTGCTATTTCATATATAGATTTGTGTAAATGGTACTTATGTTTCTTTCTTTAGTAGTACTACTCATCTGTTCCCCTTTAATGATATATCATATAGGAAATTTTCAATATTTTTTTTTTAAATAAGCAGCCTTCTTATAAGAATGCATAATTAATGTCTAATTGAGTTGAAGTTTAATCATGGATAATTGTTAAAGTTAAAAGCACTTTAACAACAACTATTTTAATAATGGGGGAGTATGTATCTATGAATTCTATGTCTTCATGTTGTGTGTATCCCTAGGCAATGAGATGAGCTTTCTGATTATTTTTTGAGTCATCAATGTTGTACTAAACTTTTTAATTTCATTTGCAGCCAAAGACATTTTGCTTGGTGGCAAAAAGGAGATGAAGTAGGTGTTTTTAGGTTTTAATGCATTGAGTTTGTACCCCATCGCTTGCTAACATTTGGGATTTTTAATGGCTTGATTGTAGAATTGAGAGTCAAATTAGGCGAAATTGTTAGATAAAAATTCTTGTGCAAGTGTGAGATAGGATTGTAAGATCATGCCCAACAAGTGAGGGGTATTTGTTGGAAGACATGCCCAAATTGTCATTGGATGATTTTGTGGCAACAATTTGGTAAGGAGTTAGCAAATTGAAAACATAATCATGCAAGTAGGATGGTGTCTTGGTGGTCTTCGTCGATTGCCTAATTGGTGTCCTAGTTGGGAGTTTTTGGGAATTAGTACGAATTCCCTAAGGCAGTTCATTTTTATGAGGTTTGTGAATGATGTTGTAAGTTCATACAAGAGGCCTAGATTGATGAGGTTAGGGAATTGATTTATAAAGGTATTATTCGTATTGGAGTGGAATGAGAAGTATTTTTTATTGAAAATAACATCCTGATATATGAATATTTGTTTGCCTCTATGTTATATAAGTTGTAGTCTTTCATGCCCTTATGGTGGATGAAATGCAAGCACGAGCCCTTCATTGAATTTTTTTTTGGTATATGGAAAGATTTGAGGTGAAATATAGACATATAAAAACTCTAAGCAAAAAATAATTGATGGTTGTATCGTAGAATAGTTCATATAAAGTCTTATATTGTAGTAGAAGGGGTGTGTTCAATTGATTACAAATGTGGCCGTGAGGATAAATTCATTTGAAAAGTGGATGGGGACATGTGTATGAAAATATGCAGCTTGAGCAACTATTAAGAGAAGTTGATACTTTCTTTCAACAATAGAGTTTTGTTGATGTATAACACCTCGGTCATCAAAAATTTGCATTAAATCTTGTTATTAGTATTATGTAATATGAAGACTTTAATTCAACTAATGAATGAAGGGAAGTTAAGCTAAAAGTTTTAGGATGGTAGTATAAGGTTTTTATTTGTGCATCACATCTAGTACAATTGTCAATAAAAGTTAAAAAATGTTTATATCCAGGATGAGCTAGAACATTTTAAAGTATTTTTGGACATGTGATTGGAAGAAAAGAAGGGTAGTCAACATTGTTTAGCTTGAGGACAAGTATAAGAAAGGTTTTCTCTGCCAAATTAAAGATTAAATATAAGAAGGGTCTATCTTTGCAAATATTTATGCATCACGCTTCACCTAATCCTTCGGACAATCTAGTTTTTATGTGATGGATGTCCAAGTCTATTGTACCATATTTGAGTTAAAATATTATTAATATAAAATTCAATGTTTAAATTTCATATGTCATAGATGTAGAGATATGTTGATGATATGGGGATCCTCTTTCCTTTCAAATTTGCTAACCATCTTCCTACCATTTTAGTCCTAGATAATGAGTGATCATAGAAAAAAGTTATGATGAGTTGTATATCTATCATAAGATCACTGACATACAAGTTATCATAGAATGATTGAGGTAGTCGGGGCAAGAGGATCATCAATTAACGATCTGCTAGCAAAATCTTTGGGGTTGTGATTCGATGTTTAATCCATTACAGGCGAGTAAAGTGGATTGAAGGGAGCAGTAGCGGTAGCAAGCGAGTATGTCAAAGAAATAATTATGCTCTGATAACTTCGTACAAGAATGATGTGCTAATTCAATGTAGAAAAAATTTAAGATATTATTATATAACATCAGTCATTTTAACATAGGAGTTATGTGGGTATATATATATATATATGCTAAATGAAATATTCTAGGCTCTACAATAAGGAATACAATACACAACTATAGGATAAGTTGGAAGCAAGACTTATAGCAGCAGGACTAGTATATATTTTTAATAATATCAAATGCTCCCTAAATAGAGTTGTGCCCTATATATAGGGGTTGTAAATATACTGAATTTGTGCTCGAAGTTTGAGTGTTATTTAACTCAAATGATTTAGTAATTGAATAAAAAAAAATTTGTGCTACTTATTGGGCCAAACATAAGCTATTTATAAACAAAGTCTACTTAAATGTCTTATATAAAATTAGAATATAATTTTTTTACATATATGTATATATTCATATAAATATAAATATGAATAATTAGTATTGTTTTGATTATTTTACAGTTAGTTCCTCTAAAGTAGATATTACTTTCATAAATCAAGATTGTTTTATCACCTTAATTTTGCAGCACATATAAATCTAATCCATAATATACAACATATAAATTTATGCATAAGCCTCATTAATGCTATTATTAATTTTAACTTCACTAATGATTTTGACGTTAGTACTACACCTCCACATTGCCACCTCCTCCCTCTCTCTCTCTCTCTCTCTCTCTCTCTCTCTCTCTCT